TGGTCTGTCTCCTTTGATTAAAGTAAGGTGCATGAGGGATATCGATAACTTAAATCGAACAATCATATTATCTACCTAATTATGTCGATCAACAAAAACCACGAAACAAATCTTCGTCTGCTTGGAACTCCTTGATTAGACTACTGCTCGCCTGTTTGGAAGGCATATCTCCCACCTTGACATATCTCCCACCTTGACCTCGCCTTTCACATTCTCTGAGCCCTTCACGCTGACCTTCACGCTATCCTTCACGCTATCTTTACCCTTCGAAACTCACGAATTAGACTATAGACTTTTTCGGGGTTCCCAAGGCAAAGCCCATAAGTCTGATACTTCTGGTAGCGAAGCAAGGATGCCTTTTTTAGGATGGCACTTCTTCACATCTACATACATGAATAGTCTGAGCTAGCCTTCTAAATTTGATGGAATAGATAGATGGCCCTTTCGATGGATGACTGATGCCTTAATTGGTGTGGGTCTTCAGCCGTTGCCTTATGATACCTCGCTCATGTGGTGCGGTAGTTCAATGAAATGCCCAGACCTGCTCTACATGCCTCCTAGGATCCCTGGGGAGAGTATGACATGAGGAGGTGAAGAGCGGGGATAAGCAAGTACGAGGAGCAGTTCTTCCCGTTGTGAGCACAATTTCTCTTCCTTATTTCCCGTTGGACAATCCTCTATGCCAGTCCACGCAACTCCAGTCCGTCGCTGACCCAATGCCAAAAGCCAAGGCCAAAAGCCACAAGCCAATGCCACAAGCCAATGCCACAAGCCAAGGAAGAGCACCTAATGGGTGAACTACTTCCAAGTCAGGTGCTAAGGACAAGAGTCAAGGCGAAAGCTGAGTCCCTTCCGAGACGTCTCTTCCAATCCACACATTTCTTGAACGGGCTCCCAACCAAGAAAAAACTGATAGCACCACCCAAGATCCTATGACAGGTATCAGGATGACCAGGCACCGGTACGCCTTTTAATTAGAGCGCGATAACACCTTCCGCCCGATGCACCTGGAAAGAGGCACCATCACTGAATGCAACGCCCGCTCCCTCGAGAGACGACCCCCGCATCCAAGTGGCCTGTCTCACTTCGAACGTCCTTCGGGGTTTGGATGGAACCCATCCGATTGTAGTATTGGCCCAAATAACTTGTGCTATCAACCCATTGCCAAGTGTTGTTAGTTGACAATCAATTGATACCAGATGTCAATATTACCATGATTTTCACAGCTGTGTTCGACACACAACAGGATCTTGGGTCCAACTCTTTTAACCGTACTATCCGATCTTCGCATACTCCTTCACTAACTCAGCCGCCCAGATCACTTCCGGCAACGCCTGCAACCCCTAAGTTTGCTTCATGGACACAACAGGATCGTTTTCTCTACAGTGCAATACTTGGCACTCTTTCTCTTCAGGTACAACCATTTGTCTCCAGAGCCAACAATACACGCGAGATTTGGGCTACACTCGCCAAGACCCGTGGAAATCCATCCAGAATCAAACAACTCAAGAACACTACCAAAGGGGAACTAATCGGTTCATGATTACATGAGGAGCATCCTTCACATAGCTGACCAATTGGCTCTTCTTGGTTCTCCTCTTGCGCATGAAGACCTACTGGATCACATCACAGAAGGACTCGATGAAGACTATCGTCCAATCATTGAACTCGTTAATGGCAGAGACACTCCGATCTCCATTGATGAGTTACATGAAAAGCTTCTCAATCGAGAGAACACACTTTTTCTCCTTGCTGTAACGACACCGTCATCAATTACTGCCTCTGCAAACTCTGCAAACAACGCACAATATCGGAACAACAATAGCAACAACTCTCATCCCAATCAAAACCGCTACAACAACAACTACAGTGGTTTTTAAGTAGAGGAGTCTAGGATCACAAAGTGAGGGTTCCAAGTAAGGAGTCAAATTTGCAGCATCCATGGACATAGCGCAAGAACCTGCCCTCAACTTGCATCATCGCGAGGATCGCTGGCTAACTCAGTCGCAGGCCTCTCAGTGGCCCTGGTCTCCATCTCCTCCGATGCCACCTCAAAACTGGCAACGACGAGCACATTACACGACCGCCACCACCTCATCGCAGGCTCCTTGGTTGCTTGATAATGGAGCATCTCATCATATTGCTACTGATCTAGGCAATATGTCGATCAATGGCTCCTACAATGGAGGAGAAGAAGTGCTCATTGGCAATGGTGCAGGTCTACCAATCACCAATACGGGTTACACAACTTTACCTTCTTCCACTAGAACTCTTTTACTTGATAATGTTCTATGTGTTCCTACTATGAAGAAGAATCTTATATCGGTGAATAAGCTATGTCGTACTAATCATACCAGGGTTGATAAAATAAGGATTAAGCACAGCCCTGTGCTGGCCCCTCGGATGTAAACTTATCAACTGCCTTTAGGGTTAACCACTTTGGTATACCAGCTCCTCACTCATCACACACGTAAACCTAACCAAGCAAAGAGACTTCCCGAACACAGGAGTGTGCTCAGTCACAAGGAACAAAGTATTCTGCGAGGGATGTGCTTAAAAGGTAGACTTTTCTTTGCTTCGCTAGGGAGAAGGTTCCTATCCAACAACTAACGAAGTCAACTATCAACCTACTCCTATCCAGTCAACTACTCCTCATCAGAACAAGTATATCGTCGACCCAAAGGGGAATTCATGAAACCATCTATCGATGCATATGTACGAGAAGTGCCCTTTATAGATTTAGCATCACTCCCAGCGAAGTAGCCCTAGCGAAGCCCTGGCGAAGCAACCCCAATCCTAGCGAAGCAACCTTTCGGCTAGCTTATTCCTGCTGGCCCAGCTAAGATTCTAAACCAAGAAAGGACAGAGTGACCTTCGGAATAGAAGAGCTGGCTGCTTCGCCTGACATCTTCATACTTATAACACTTAGTCGGGAATCGAACCCGGTCTCCAAAGACTTAGTTTCATTTTCAAAAGATAGATATGTTTTTGACCAACAACACATTCCATGAAAAACTAAAAGAAAACTCAAAAAGGTTGATTGTCGAGTTGGAAAGATTGATGCTTTAAGTAACGAAAAAACCCGGTAAAAGTACCTAACATCGACAAAACCATAGGTGCCCATTTTTCTATTACGGAAATGCAAAATGGCATATTTCTTTCGAGTGTTCATTTTGATCCGTTCATTGGATCTTGTACTCAGGGTACACTGAACACCACAAAAATCTCGATGAAACTGTGAGAACTCAAAGTGGGTGCGGATTCGAACCGCTTACAGAGGGATTTACAGTCCTTCGCTCTACCAGAGCTACTACCTGTCACCACTTGCTTTTCAACTCGTAAAGGATCCGCCTCGAATCAAAACGTTCTTTCTTTTCTAAAAACGATCTTTCTTCTCTTATGAAATTGATAGTTTGTGATAGGGATGCAATAACTCGACTGTAAGGTCCACCAGGTCCGTAGGAGAGTCAGTCTTTCTCTAAGCAAGCTGTTTTCTGGCCTATACGGAAAGAGTTTTCAAGGAGGAACCCAGCTTCTCCCCTCTCAGCGGAGAAGGAGGAACCCAGCTTCTCTTCTCTCAGAGGAGGAACCCCTTTTAGTCGAGTAATTGGAGTTCCTCGGCAAGTGTTGTGATTCCCTTCAAGTGTAGTGAGCGTGAGGACCCCTTAGTAGCCCAAGCGCAAGCGCGGCTGGGGTCCGTAGTGAACGGCTGTCTGCGGTTGCAGCTCTGTTGCTCAGCTGTCATTATTGAATATATCTCCTGTCGTCCGATCTATTCTTTACTTGTGAATCCCTTCCCCTCATCAACTAATTAATGAGAGCCTCCCCTCCCCTTACAGGCAAGCTTTCACTTCGATGTGGCTTTCTGCGTCGAGAGACTTGGCGATCATATCGTCTACGTAGACTTCTATCTCCCGGTCCATCATGGAACTGTGTGGCCATCTGCTACCTGCCCATAGAAAGGGTTTGAAAAGGTACCCAATTGAATAGTGAATTATACCCGAGGAATCAATAAACACGCCATGGCCTACTTGGGTGGTTCTCATCCCTTTCAACCATGTCCAAGATTTCTTCTCAGTATCGTTCTGGAAACTCCTCACTGAGCCCGATGTTAAGATCGAGGGAAGAGCTTTCTTCTGTTTCGTCCTCTACCGACTTCCCTAGGAGAGAGATTGATAGTGATAATATATGAAAGCAGTATCAATTAGTATCCTGTAGGGTTTCAAGGCATAACCTCAACGGGTGTTACCAGCTTGGGGGAGGTTTCAATACCAGTCTCCTCCTATGCTCTGGGCATAGCAAGAGGAAGTCTCACGACCCTCACTTGTTCTAAGAGTCTCATAAACCTTTGGACCATCTTCATTGACTGGAAGATTCTTTCAAACTAGGAAGGCTTCTTAGAGCTAGGCTAGTCATACGAGCTTGCTACGAGAGTGAAACGCACTGACGTGACTCGAGTTTCTCTAGGAGAGGGAAACGGTTTGAAATCCATAACTAGGGATCCGCACTCCTACGTGGACATCTAGAAAGGGAGTACTTGGAGACAGAGAAAGTGATTGTGCTACGTAAAATACTCTAATTGCAGGTTCGCTAGTTGCTCTCCCTTTAGCTTTAGAAAGCAGGAGAGGTCCAACGGAACTCGACTGAAAGGAGAAAGGAAAAGGGTGGATAACGAGACCCAGACTTTGATGTAATGTAATTTCACTGCCTTATTGAGATAGGGGCATTTCAAGATGAGAGTGAGAAGACCTGCTTTCCTCCTCGTATCGAGCATCGCTCTGAGTAAGGCTTGGGAAATCGATATCCCGGTTCCGATGTAGCATTGGATCAAGTACCAACTAGTAAGGAATCCAAGGTTTTCGTACATCAAGAGGAATCTTTCTATCCAGTTTCGTTCATCAAGAGCTTAGCAAGCATATCAGACTAGGTAGATAACTCACTAGGGTTTGCAAGCTAATCACTCTTTCTTTCTCACCTTCAGTAGCAATAGATTGATCTTCTTTTAGGATTCTGCACTATCATGGAAGTGAGCCGAGGAAGTGAAGGTTCGACATCGAGTGGTTGACTGGGTTGCGTAGAGAACGGAGAATAGAGGAAAAGAGACCTACTTTCCTCACAGGAGAGTGTCGATGCGCTCTTCCCCAGTCGTGTTGAAGAAGTTTGAGGGAAAGATGGATTCTGAAGGAAATCGGCTGACCTATCGGATGAAGCAGACTGCTGCGAAAGTGGTGCCACGAGTCGAGAACTCTGAGAATTGTGCTCGTTCAGGCCCTTTAGTGCACCTAAGTGCGAAGCCCTTTCACGAGGATCTTTCATTCCCTTCTCTTTGTAGCTATGTCGGACAAGAGATCAAAAGGGTCAAAGCGGATTTTGATTGAATGGCATCCATCTATGTGTATGGAAAAACCAAGAGTGGAAAGAAATGTGGTCCCTAGAAAAAGAAGAAAGGGATGCTCGACTCTACCATCTTGAAGCTTACAAGAGAAATTCATTCGATGAAAGGAAGAGAACTAGAAAATAGGTTGGGTTGCAAAAGAAGGGGAAAGAAATGGCTCTCTCTTGCTTCATATGGATTCGGAACTAAGAAGAAAGAAAGTAGAAGCTGCTTAGCGCTAAGGGCTTGGGGGGAAGTTAACCACTTTGTTGATTCCGAAAGAAGTCATGAAAGAAAGATGAGAGTAGAGGAGAAAGCTCATATCCCCTTCTACTCTTTTTTCCTAGCTAGTCTAGCTACTCCGTATGCGCTGAAGCAAGCCCCACGCATCTTTGTAAGCAAAGCGAAAGGTGCAAGAGAAAGTGTGACCTTCGTCATAGAATTCCTCTTTCATTGCGGGTGATACCTATTTGCAACTATGGTTGGCTGCTTAAGGTACAAGAATTTGGTTCAAGGATGGTGCTGTGAAGGATCAGAATAAGTCCTGGTCTATGAGTACTTACCCAAGGCTAGCCTGGACAAACTCCTTCACAAGAACACCTGTTCTGCGGTTTTCCTATCCTGGAAGCTAAGGTTTTTGTAGATTGAGATAGATTGATTTTCGCTATCGTGCCTCTTCCTTGTACCGGTTGATGCTGCGGAGGAACCCCTAATATGAGTTTGCTCCTGCCCCAGACAGCTTCGAGGTTACCATCGATTACAGAGGTTGAAACCTGTGAACTTGCTTATGCTCCCCTTTGATCGAGTGCTATTTCTATAAAAAAGATTGAGTAGGAAAAACTGGAATTGGCTTCAATCGAGATTGCCCCTGCTTTTTAGGCACATGAGGAACCGGCCTAACATCTTTTCAATCGAAATCCCAATACCAAGCCAAGCTTTCTCACCCGAAGGGAACGGACTGTCAAAACAACATTGTCCGGTTTAGGAGACAGAGGTTTCCATCTCCTCACCTAGTACATGGTATCCAGGCGTTCCTCGGCGTTCCTCGGAGTGACTCGACTGAAAGGAGAGGGATTTCTTACTCGAGCACTTGTCTAGAGAGGTACTTTAGTAACTCGACTGAAAAGAATGGATCCAAAGGTTCCTATATTCAAGGACAAAGAGAAACCTCGATAGGTAGTCAATCAACAATCTCAAGTTCTCCTCCTAAGTCGAAACTACTTAATGCTTCAGGGAATTCCATTCAATCTGGTAGATCCACTACCACTAAAGGTTATCCAGAGAGTCAAGAGGATTCATTTCTCCTCCGGTAGATGGAAGAGATTCATTTTGTTCATACCAATCTCAGAGAGTATTATGAAGGCTATAGACTCTTAGAAGGAGAAATCGATGAAATTCAAGATCTAGTGTTCTCAAAGAAGTACACAATCTCACCTATGCGACTTGTTTCAAGATCCCTAAAGGAAGAGGATTATCTTTGTGAATTGGAAGGTCAACTTTACCGGCTCCCCCATGTGAACAAAGATAACATAATCCATAGACGATTCCCGGTTGATTTTTTGATCCATTCATTGCCATCATTATCGTATCATAATCCACATCTTATATAATCCGATTTCATATATTCTGATAATGGAGAGAACTACATCACTTCCTCACCTTCTGACATTGTTGTGATATCGGCATTCATTATGGCTTTGATCAAGTCTTTAGCGATGGAGTCTACCTTTTTTAGGAAATCCTGCTATAATAATTATCAAACAGAAGATGCATATCAAAATATCATTAATGCAATCGGACAGTGGGAAGATGTTGTCAAAGTATTCTATCTGGATTGTCTCAATTCCCAAATCAAGTTTTCCAAACCAAGAGTGATAGAGAGATTAGCCCCTATTGTGAACTCTGATGAATATCTGATAAATATCATTAGTTGTCTTGTCAACTTACCTATTATTGATGAAGCCGGAAAGGATTACTCATCCAAGACAGGTGCTCCAATGATACCAATATTGGATGATATTCTTTTCAATATCTTTTTAGACGACATAGATCAGAAAATGGAAAATGAAATCCCTCAACTTTTGTATGCTCGGTATCAACATTTGATGTTCATTCCAATTACTCCTAAATATCAAGAGTATGAACTATCCATTAGTCATACTTTAAAGAAGATTTTTATTGAATGCAATTTGGATCAATCTTACAACAAGCTTTATTTAAATATCAAGAGTATACCTACATATAAATATAGGCACCGCTTGCCCAGTAGAATGAGTTCTAGTTAGAGATGAGATCAGGGCAAAGGGTATCCAACCAAGCAACAAGGAAAATGACGAGAAGCAGAACAAAAGAAGATAGGGGATGGGATTCTAATGGATATTATCCTGTAGGGTGGGCATCCAAGACAAGATTGAATTCGTTGTCAAACCGTTCCAGCCAGGCTTCCGTGCAGGTGTCACAGGTTCCTCCTGAAAGGCTGCTCTCTCCCCTAGCGAGGAACCGGAACCAACTAATGGATCCATGGAACCCCATATATTGCATCTCCAACGGAAGGTCAGATGCTCCATCCGAGGGAAGAGAACGATTTGAAGGGCTGCAGCAGGAAATGCAAAAGAAGAAAGAAAGAAAGAGTTCAGCCGCTTGACCTGCGAGGAAATTCAATAAATCATAGGCGCGGAAGGCCAATGAACATCGGCTTCAGACCTTACCTTAGACGTACCCTACTTCCTAAAAATGAACGTAGAGATGATCCAATCTCTGGACTGGAGCCCCGGCTTTCTATTTTCCAGCTTAATAAAGATAAAGATGGAAGCTCGAGGAACGCCTATGCAATCACAGCTCAGTAATGGACTGGCGAACTAAAATGGATAGCTGAGAATTGCGACTGATGAATCGCGATCAGCCGCTGATTCCCTTGCCGTTGGATTCGTGCCTCAAGACTCTGCCACTGGGACTCGGTCGGAAGAATCTACTGCGGCCTTCTCTACCCACCTTTATGAATTCTAACCCCAACCAGCCATGACAAGGCTTAATTTATTAGAACCCGTTGTTGTTTAGAAAGATGTGTTATTCCTATGAAAGTCTCGTTTTTGACTCCGTTTTTTTTTAGCATTGTACACGGGCTTTTCTGCGACGAGGATGCCTTTTTTAATAAGGCCAACGTCAAGACCTGAAACAGAGTCCTACCACGTTAAGGGAGAGCACCCAACTTGCTTGTTGACACGTGAGGGAAAATAGGAGTCTGAGGTGGCAGGATTTACCACTATAACCCTATGGTAGTGATGGTTGGTCCCAGTACTCCTTCGAGTGCCTTTTGCGCTTAGCGTCGGAAAGAGGAGTTGCTTGCCTTACCACACAAACCACCTTAGCACTGGAAGTTCTAGCAATGGGCAGCTAGGCAAAGGAAAATTAGCTATCTAATGAATATGAATTAGATAATAGATTGTGGATCTGTTCTTAGCTCGTGCAATCAATAAAAGCGGTCCTTCGCCTTAGTAAGCTAGCTTTCTAAGCCCGGGCGTGGATCGATCGTGACGAAAATGGGACTAATCCTCTGTACTGTAATAGAAGAGTCAGAGTCCCTTCTCGACCAGACGAAGGAGATAGGAATGGAATTCTGCCTTGACCCTCCTGGAGGCGCAAAGTTCATAATTCAGTGTGGTGCGGCCTAGTAGTATTATAAGGATGTTGGTTTCGTATATAAGAAGACTGCTGCTTTTAGGAGAGTGACCTGTTCATCTAACTCAAAATATTGTAAGAAGAAGAAGAATCTTACGCCCAAAATTCCCATCTCTTTTTTCTTGGTTGGACCAACCGGCACCAGCCATTTCCGTCTTCCTTAATTGGGAGAGTCAGAATCAGTCTCTCTTTGTTTGGTGTGGGGAGCAGAGCAGTCAATGAAGGAACCTTTGCTTTGAAAATGATTGTTCTAAAATGGTTATTCCTCACAATTTCTCCTTGTGATGCTGCGGAACCATGGCAATTAGGATCTCAAGACGCAGCTACACCTATCATGCAAGGAATAATAGACTTACATCACGATATCTTTTTCTTCCTCATTCTGATTTTGGTTTTCGTATTATGGATCTTGGTTCGCGCTTTATGGCATTTCCACTATAAAGAAAATGCAATCCCGCAAAGGATTGTTCATGGAACTACTATCGAGATTCTTCGGACCATCTTTCCTAGTCTCATCTCGATGTTCATTGCTATACCATCATTTTCTCTCTTATACTCAATGGACGAGGTAGTAGTAGATCCAGCCATTACTATCAAAGCTATTGGACATCAATGGTATCGGACTTATGAGTATTCTGACTATAACAGTTCCGATGAGCAGTCACTCACTTTTGACAGTTATATGATTCCAGAAGAAGATCTAGAATTGGGTCAATCACGTTTATTAGAAGTGGACAATAGAGTGGTTGTACCAGAAAAAACTCATCTACGTATTATTGTAACATCTGCTGATGTACCTCATAGTTGGGCTGTACCTTCCTCAGGTGTCAAATGTGATGCTGTACCTGGTCGTTTAAATCAAATCTCTATTTTGGTACAACGAGAAGGAGTTTACTATGGTCAGTGCAGTGAGATTTGTGGAACTAATCATGCCTTTACGCGTGCGCCCGGAAACATAGGCCGACTGTTGAGCCCACTCTGGCTCAGCCGCACCACCCGGGGGTGCGAGCCACCCGAGAAGCAAGCTATTACAGCGAGCGGCTGGAGCTGTAGGGAGCCGAGGAGCAAGGCAGTAGATAAGATAGAAGAAGGGGCCAGGCACCCGGTGGAGCAGAGGGGACGGTTAGGATAACGAACTTGAAACGCGGAGCCCGAGCGGCTGGCGAGCGAGTGGTTAGTGGCCAATAGCGCCCTAGTTGATGGCATTCCTCTCTGCGGCTGGCACTCGAGGAACCACAGGGCACTCCATACAGAGCAAGCAAGTCTTAGGGATGAGACGCCCGCGCAAGGACCTCAATTCTCATTAGGAGGTCGAACCAAGGACCTATGGAAGTCGGGGCTACCCCGTCCCCATGGGCAACGCAATAGTGTCCTGAGGGAGGAGTTTAGAGGCCTTATAGTAGCATGGACTTCTTTATCTTTCTAGGTCATGCGAAGGGGGCCAGTCCAAGATCATACTGTTCCTCTACAAAGATAATAGACGCTCTCAACGGCTAGGTGCCACTCTCTTTCTGAGTTATTCCAGCTTCTTCATGATTTCGTGCCGCGGTGAACAAACAAAAAAAAGAGGGCCGTCTCAGCGGAAGGAGAAGGACCTGCAACGGCAGAGACTACTGACCCTCTGCTTGTTCTTAGCCGTCTATTACGAGTCCGGGAAGCCTGGAATCATAAATATGAGGGATCCAGAAGGGTGGGCAGGGCTTCCGCAAGGGTTTTGATCCCCTCTTCCCGGTCAAGATAGATGGGAAAGGAGTCCTATCAAGTAAAGGCCATAACCAGCCTCTTTTTTTAATGTACACCTTTCTTTGTTTCAGGTTCTTCAAGACCTTCCTCCTGCTAATCCGGCCATTTCCGAACCTGTCTTTCCCACCCTTCTCAATTCTTGCGATTCCTAGCCAGCCCCCTTAGCTTATTTTGCTTTATAAAACCACTTTCCCCTTTTTCCAGCTTGCTGCTCGCTTTCTCGCTTCCGAGAGGTGCTTTAGCAACTCGGAGAGGGCCGAAGGCGCCTGACTTACGGTTTCAAAGCCTGGCGCGAAGCGAAGGGATTGGATTTCACCTATGATCAGATTAGTGGGCAACCATTGTTGACTTTTTTCGTGGTGTTGTTGACGTTGTTGAAAGCTAATTTCGAAGTAGGCCTTGCTTTTCTCCGCTGGGAGCAGCTCACACTATGGTGGAGGAGGTGCCGTGAAGATCTAGGAGTGTGAGCAGTACGAGCTGAAAGGCTCCCATACTGTTTGGAGGGCAGGGGGCATAGATGCCAAAGAAAGCTGACCCCTATCTATCGTCGTAGAAGCTGTTCCTAGGAAAGATTATGGATCTCGGGTATCCAATCAATTAATCCCCCAAACCGGGGAAGCTTAAGCGGAAATTGAAGAGTAAGGTGAGGGAGGGGGAAGAGCTATCAAACTTTAGAGGCTTAACTCGCTCGCTCTAACGCTCGTTTAGTAGACAGCTCGTCAGTCAAGTACGTAACGAGCCTTGTCTACGAAGCTCCGCTCCCTCGTCTTGCTTGCTTCTGGCGAAGCTTCTAGCACTAGAAAAAATAGGCTTGTATGGCAGGAATACCACTTTTGAGGCCGATCACTACATAGGAGCGATAGAGAAGCCAAGCCGTATAAAGGCGAGCAGCCCTTCTAGCAATAGCAAACGGCCTACTTATAGCCTTTTCCCCTTTATTCGGGGACTTCAACGGGTCTTCCAAGCTCATAAACTGTAAATTCTTCACGTTTTCTTTAGACAGTGGGAATGAATTCTATTACTTGATTGACATTGACAGATATGTGTACCACACCGAACAAGCAATATGCCGATATGCTTGATGTACCAGCCAAGCCAGCTCGACCGTATACAGTATAAGGGATTCGCCTTTGCCTCAGACAGAAGAAGTACGGAAGTACTACCGGGAAGGGAAGCCTGACATGGGTAGATATTTATTTGAACAAAGGAACTCAAACCGGTACCAGAAAGCAAAGAAGAGATGGAATTCCTGATTGAACAGATGACCGACCTACAAGAAGACGAAAATCAAATTCCTAATTCCATTCTCTAAGACGAACTAAAGGGATGTCTCTAAGCAGCCAAGGCCAAGAACAAGCAGGAAGGAGTATGCAGCACACCTTCGAAGTGAGGCTGCTAAGCAAGTGAAGAGAGCAGGTGAACAGGTGAAGAGCACAGACCTTGAGTCTTTTGATTAGTGAAATGATAAGGGTACTCGAGTTTCAATTTATACTACGGAAATCCTATCGGGCATACGACCAGAAAGTAAGAAGCAGGTCTTCCTGGTGAGGCAGCTTTTCAGCCCGAAACTTCTTCAGCTCTAGCGAAGCAACCTCCTTCTATAGTTTATTTCTGGCTGGCCTGTCGGAGTCCTATTATTGTAGATGACAAGGAGCTATATAATCCCTCTTCTTTTCCAAGAACAACGACATGCTCTTAGATCTGT